AAACGTGGGATTTGACAGAATTGCCAAATGGTAAAAAGGCACTGCAAAACAAATAAATTTACAAGCTGAAAAAAAATTTAGATGATAGCAAGAGCTACAAGCCGAAATTTATTGTAAATAGGTTTCACTAAAAGAAAGGAGTCAAATACATTAAGATATTTTCTCTTGTAGTGAAGATGGCAACTATCAGAGCTTTGATGAGCTTGGTTACATATGAAGATCTATATATGGAATAAATGAATATGAAAACAACCTTCTTAAGTGGTAACTTAGAAGAGGAACTATATATGGTGCAGGTGCAAAGTTATGAAATTCAAGGAAAAGAAATCAAGCTCTACAGACTGAAAAAGAATCTTCTATGGTTTGAAGCAGACACTAAGGTAGGAGCACAGAAGATAGGATGTAATCTGCCCATGTGCATTGATACTAGAGCTATTAACAAGCTTATTATTAAATATTGTTTTCCCATGCCAAGTATCGAAGCTAGATTTACGAAGTGGATACCATCAAATTTGTATATGACCAAGGGATGGATGGAAAATCACGTTCAAAACTCGTGAAGGATTATACGAATTGAAGTTTAAGTCATTCGGTTTATGTATTGCGCAAAGTGCTTTTATAAGGCTCATGAATGAGATACTTAAACCTTTTTGGGTTACTTTCGTCTCGTTTATTTTGACAACATATTAGTTTATAGTTCTTCTCTTGATGAACACAAAATATTTGGCTCTTCAAATCTCTCTGTGCTCATAAATTATATCAAAATGTGAGTATGCAACCTCTTATGCCCACTTTCTTGGTTTTATAATTTCAGCAAACAAAATTCGGACAGATCAACAAAATGTTCAGTCATTCAAGAGTGGTCGAAACCTACCTTTTTTACCTACTTTTTTTTCAAAAATTCAAAGCTTTCATGGGCTAGCAAATTTCTACCATCATTTAAATGAGGTTTTAATGCGATGATGGTTCCCATCACTAATTGCCTTAAATCCAAAGCATTTATTTGTAGCTTCGAAATCATAAAAACTACATGAAATTTTGTGCCAATTTTAGCCCTGTCCAATTTTGACAAACCATTCCACCCAAAAACATATGCGAGCAGTCATTTCACAGAAAGATCGTGCTACTGAGTTTTACAGTGAGAAACGAAGTGCAGCAAGGCAAAAGTGGACAGTTTATGAGCAAAAATTATACAATGTGATTCGTGCTATCAGATAGTGGGAGCATTACCTCCTTCACCAAGATTGTGTTTTGTGCAATGATCACCAAACTTTACAATTTATAAATTCGCAAAAAAAAAAAAAAAAACTCAATAGAATGCATACTCGTTGGGTGATAGTTTTGCATAAATTCATCTATGTGCTTGAGCATAAATCCAATTCACATGATTGAGTGGCCGACGCACTCAGCAGGCGATCAACCCACTTCCCTACAAATAAAAATCACATGGCTGGAATATTTGAAGGCTTTATATGACAATAACAAGGATTTTTATGAAATCTGGAAATAGTGTCACTCACACCATTCGGTTTATGATCGGCATGTGTATGTATTCAAAAGCAATCGGTTGTGTGCGCCCGATTCCTCTCTTAGACATCAACTAATTGAGGAAATACAAATCGGGGATTAACTGCCCATGTTGGACAAGAGAGAACATTGAACCAGTTACAAACTCTTTTTTTTGGCCCAATATCCATAGAGATGTTAAAAGATTTGTGGCCAAGTGTCCAATATGTCAAAAAACTTACAAAGGTAAGTCTCAAAATATAAGTTTGTATACTCCTTTGCCAACTCTTGCATCGATTTGGGAAGATCTTAATCTAGATTTTATATTTGGGCTACCAATAACAAGAAAGGGAGTTCATTCAATAATAGTAGTTGTGGACAAATTTTCTAAGATGACACTTTATCTCTTGAAAGAGAACTTCCAATGAAAGTCACATTGCCCGCCTCTTCTTTCATGAGATTGTTCATCTTCATGGTATACCTCAAAGTCTCACTTCTAATCATGATGTTAAGTTCATGCAAGAGCAACAGATGAAGTGGGAGCAGAAGGCGTCATAGGAGAAGGAGACATTGTAGGGTGCCCAAACCCACTCAACAGTGAACAAACCACGTGAGCGCGACAATTGCCATGCAGTTTCGACTCGATCCGGGTGAAACTCCCTAGTTTCTTGTAAGAGACCTTCCGATGCAAGTCACATTGCGAGCCTCTTCTTTCATGAGATTGTTCGTCTTCATGGTATACCTCAAAGTTTCACTTATAATCATGATGTTAAGTTCACGCAGGAGCAACAGATGAAGCGGGAGTAGGAGGCGTCAGAAAGCAGGACACGGTGCTAGGCGCCCAGACCCGCTCAGCAGTGAACAAATTACGTCGGTGCGATAATTGTCATGCGGGTTTAACTCGATCTGGGCAGACCTCCTTAGTGCACAATTTTCCTCCTATTTGGAGTGTGGCCCACTCCTCTTTACCTTAACACTATTTATTTGTTATTTCTTGTGTTTTAGGGCAATATTGGTCAGATTTCTGTCAGGACAGCCGTCAACATTCAGATTTTCTCTTCTAGAGTTGTACCCAGCTACAAGTGGTGCTCCAGTTGTATCGCGTTCAAAGTGGTAATTATCCTCGACCTTCCCACTCCCTCGCAACCCTCCTGCCGCCGCCGTCATATTTGTTGCAACCATCAGAAAACAAACATGTTATTGTTTTCTTGCAGCTCTCTACCGCCTCTCCTCTCCTCCCAAACTACAGCCCCCTTGACGCCAACCTTGCTTCTTGTTGTCGCCATCCTAAGGACAGCCCACATGATGTCTTTCTGCCACTCCAACCCTCCCTATTGTTGTCATTGTTGTCCCAGCATCCCAACAACCTTCTACACCTCCACTCAACCTCCTACCTTGTTGTCACACCCTCCTGCAATCCCCCACTTGTCATCCAGCCAACCCCACTCAATTTCGGCTTGTTGCTGCCCCCTCCACTGCCTCACGCTTGCTACCCAACCACCCAACCATCATCCCCTCACTATTGTTAAGCCTCTCTACCACCCCTCCTTTTCCACTACCTCGACACGTAGTCAACCACCATCGATCCTCGCCCTGGGAGGTTTTTTGTATTTGTGTCGATGTTTTCTTATTTCAAGAGTCTTTCTTTGTAATCCCTTTGAATTTCAGCAACAATATTTGCATTTCTATGGTGGTTTGGATTAACTCCGGTATCAATTCGTTAGCTGCTTTTGGAGAAAATTGCCGAAACATTTTTAAACGTCGCTCCGCCTAAGTTCAGCATGCCATCCTCAGTCTGATGGTCAAACCGAAGTTACTAATCGCACCCTTGGGAATATGTTGCGTTGTTTGGTTCAAGATCACCCAAAACGGTGGTATGAGGTCCTCGACAAAACTAAATTTGCTTACAATTCCATGCCAAATCGATCTACAGGTTTATGTCCATTTGGTATTGTTTATACTAAAATGTCTAATCATACCATTGATGTAGCTGTTCTACCAAAGTGCAAAAGTCGAGCAACAGCAACCATGGCAAGCAAGGCCACCAAATTATTGTAGGACGTGCAATCTCGGTTGTTGGAGTCTAATGAAAAATATAAGGAACTAGCATATCAACATCGACGTCCCAAAGTCTTCACTCCAGGAGATCTAGTAGACTCGCATCAGGCACCTATTCAAAGCTGAACCTTCACAAACTAGGAACTTTTTTCTATGAATAGACAAATCAACGATAACGCTTACATCATGGATCAACCTCCTGACATACTTACCTCCTCTACTTTCAAGTTTCTGACATATATGCATATCACCCTCCAAATGAAGCCACCGATCAGTTGATTTCGCTCCGGTCGAGTTCTTATGAAGCAGGGAAGACATGATGTGACACATTTCCTTATCTCTCTTTTACATATTTCCTTTATTAACTTTTTACACCATATTAGGCTCTAGTTTTATTTACTATTACGCATTTGCTTTTCTTTGTTTAGTAATTTTGTTTTACTTGTGGTTCCATGCCTAAGGACCGAATATACATAGTGGTATTGCCTATAGAGGAGAGATAGACATCATGTTTTACAGTAAAAACTACCATGTGTTATTCCATCTTTTCTTGTCTTCTTCCTGCTGCTTGGCCTCTGCTTTGTTGTTTTGTAGCTCTCATGTCACAAACCAAGCCGTTTTACATCATTAGCGCATGCATCATTCAATTGTAACCCATTGGGATAATCATCTAACTTTCCCTTCCTCCTATATTAGTCCTTCTGACTTCGGATACGTTTGGGAGAGCTTTTTGATGATTTTATTTTACAGATCTCTAAAAGACTTCTATTTAGCTACAACTTTCTTATTACATTTTAGTAAATTTTGAGGGAAGTATGAACTCTTCAACCAAATCCACTAGAGTGTAGTAGCTATAAAAAAGTTGGTGTTTGACTTTTTTTTATAGAAAGAAGTCTACAATACCCACAATAACCTTCAAAAACTCTATTTCTATCATAACAAATTAAAAATTAATTTTACAAATAGCTGCCAGCATCCCAAAGCATATCCCATCTCTATCTCCTTTTATGTAAGTTAAAATGCTATGCTTAATGCAGTGATAATATTTTTCTTTTATGCCATATTTTAAATTAAATTCTAAAGTGATTTATTTTATTATACAAATTTATAAACAATAGAAGTTCACATTTTAAGCACACATTGTTAACATCCAGGTATCGTTATGTCAGTAAGTATGCTTATACATTGGAAGCAGCTAATGAGGTTCAAGATCTCAGTGTAAAGTCCGGCAACGATAAAAGTTGAAGCTTCGAGGACTCAGGAAGCCTAGCATTCATATAGGTAAGAAGCTTAACAGTACATTCAAGCATAATTTAAAATAGGAAAATAAAATGCAATAGATACGTTCATGATCAGCCATAAGCTGAAAAAACTTGATATATTCATCTACAGAAGCTGTATCAAAAATTATAAATCACCTAGCATGAAGCACATACCTTCAGTAGATGAATCCAGCTCTACAACACATTCATGATTTGCATGAATAGAATATTTCTCAGATATAGCAATTAAAGTGATCGATGTCAAAATGTCTACCATCTCATCTACATTTCTGCCAACATTGAGTCTCATATTAAATTCAAGATCAAAATACAGATGGCAAGGATGACCCTGGAAAGGAAAACACTTATTATTTTCTAGCGATAAAACTATTGAATGTGTGAATAGAAATTTGCCTTATTAGAGCATAATGATTTATCAAGAAAGAAAAGAACATAACAACAATTTGCATGGTTATATAAACGGCAAAATAGATGCCATTAAAGCAGAGACTGCCAAATGCTGCTGTTTGTTCTTCGCGTGTCGCGTGATCTACAAGTTTCAATCCATGCAAAAATATGTTGAGATCTGCTAAAACATAAAGTTTCGAGTTACATCACCACAAAAAATTGTAGAGATATAGTTAGATGCTAAAGCTATTGGACAAGAGAGGCACTATAAACTACACTGAAAGTTATTCGAAGGGCAAGTCATTGAATGTTTTAAACTTTTTATAAGAATAGAAGGAAATAAAAATATTACTTTCCTGGGCATTAACATAAAGCTGAGCGAGCGTTTTCATGTATTAGAGTATGACAACCAATTAATGGATACATAGAAGTGTCACTCTAACAATATGAAGTAGAAAATAACCTTTATAAGGAGAAACACAAAGACAACTAATGAAATGGTCAAGTTTATAAAGAGGGTTAATTTAATGAACTACTTTTTCTTAAAGGGATGTTTCCTGGTTTTGTTTGCTGTGGGGTATTGTTGTCATTGTTTATCTGAAGTTTTGAGGACTCAGGTATAATCCAAAGCACAGTCTTCTGTGCAGCTACAGCATGAACGAGCATCCAGAACAAGATTTTCAGGGGCTGCAGTCAAAAGAGACAACAAGGTGCTCTCGGCCATTAGTTCTAAATTTAAGATGGACATTAAGGGTCAGGCACTAGCAGTGGTCAGACACTGAATCAAGATGCCGGAAACTCTTGATAAATAATAATTTTTTTTCTAGCCTTTTGCATACTCTCTTTTACTTTGTCTCAATATATGCACATAATGAAAGATAAAAACAGCATAATAAGTCCCAAATGCATCAAAACAAATTGCCCTCATAACCACAATTAAGAATGCCGCATCCAGATTGGAGCTAGAATAGTATTTATATTTATTTGTGCATTTGTGGATGCATGGGAGAGCTCATTTGCATGTAATAGTGTGAGCAAGTTCAAAATTGCATTTAAAACCTGAATACGAAAGGCACTTTACAAATCACCTTACCTTTTCAGAGCTATAGTTACAAGTGACGTGAAATTATTTTAAGAACTAAAATTTCGTTACACATGCCACAAAAAATGCCAGAAAATATTTCTCAAACACACCATAGTTATGTCCAAGATATACCATATTACAGAACATACATTCAAGATCTCTCCTAGCCTGCAATACACCCAATTTTCCATAATAAACTAATAAAGGACATTGCATTCACATTATTGATAAAGGTTTGTTGAACAAAAATCATTGGCATAAATATTAACATTAGTCAAAATTTTGTTGTTGCGTCTTTATGCATTTGCCATGAAGAGCGCTCGTCTAATTCAAACTAATCTTATGGTTCAATTTAAGAATATTAAACATGATTGCTCATAAATAAATAATTCAAAATGTTGATGGTAATCACATATTTATTCATCATTTTAAGTAATTTCTTTCAAAAAAAACCAGATGAGTTTAGCAAAGCTAACAAATACCTCTTGAATAACTTCATAATGATGTCGGAATTTGGAATCCATACTTTCATACCTACAAGAAAATGTGGCCATTAGAATAGGAAAAATAGCTTCAGAATGGTTAAGATATCATGGTTTTGAAATAATTAATTTTATTTCTAGCAATTAGTTCTTGTTACATCCTTTGCCACACACTAAGTGATAAACCTTAACTGAAGTGATGTTGTGGAATTCTAAGTTTCATATTTTAGTTTTATTCCCTCCTATTATTTTATTTCTTTTTTTCTTGAGTTATGTTTTCTTTGGTAAGTTGTAATTATTGTAATTAATCTTGTCCTAGCCGTTTCTTATTATATAAGGAGAAGAGTTATAATTTGATTATTGAGAAATAAAAAAATATGATTTTCTCCACCTTCCTTCATGGTATTCGAGCTTGGTAAGCTCTCCTTTCGCTGTCGAAGCCTCTACTTAATCGACGGACCCTACAGAACCTGCGTCGGATCACCTCCCTAAAAGTGATCCCCTCCTGCGCTTCCCAGCAGGCGCTATTCCTTCCTTGTGGACGTTATGCCTTCCCTCCAGTTGAATTTTGTCCCCCTAGTGGAAATCCTAACCGGGTCGGACATTCACTTGGTTGGTTTTTATCTCTCCAGAGGAAATCCCAAAACTATGAGAGCTAGATTTTCTCTCTCTAATAGAAATCTCAAACATAAGAGAGGCTATAACTTCCTGCTTCCGCTGTCTTCCGCAAAAATAGCCCGCCCTGCAAGTTTTTTTTCTCTTAAACGCAGTTATCAACCAACCTTCTAGGCATTCCAGTCTTCCACTGACACCCAGATATCAACCACACCCTGCTTTCTTCTTGCCTTCCTAGCCAATACTTCGGAAGCAAGCAAAGCCGCCACAGGCGTTCCTCTTCTCCTACGGCACAATCAGCCAGGAATCATTTCCAACCCTAATGGTGCATAGGGATTATGACAAAAAAGGTGTTTAGCTCTACCGTGAAGGTTAGTTCGAAATTAGAAATAGGAAATTTTGCCCAAACAACCCCAGAACTCTCCCACTTTATCACAAACCATAAACTCAATAGCCAGAACATCTTTCGATGATCTCAATCAGTGTTTATGTACATTTCATGGAAAAAGAAAAAAAAACATCTCATGGGAGAGGGCATAGTTCATGAGTATATTGATCCTAAAAATCGCGCATGAAAGATCAAGGATCATATGATCATATGTTAGTTCATCAACTATATGACCATGAAGATTGGAGAAAATTTAATGTTTTATAATATAGTGTTGAAATTCAGAATAATGTGGAATAACATTAATGATATTAATAGTTTATAAACAACCCTTACATGAATTTTAGAATAGGAAAGATAGGAAAAATATATAACATGAGAGGAAAGATACAACACTTAAAATCTCAAATTAATCAATTCATAGTAACTATTTGGAGATAAAGAAGACAACATAAAATAAGACTGACTAAAATATGAAAGAAAATAAATTTAATCCAAGGAAATAAATATAAAATAGAAAAGCAAATAAAGTTATATTTGGAAATAAATCTAATTCTCATAACTTCTAACATAAATAAATGATTTCCTGATATAACTACTAACACTCCCCCTCAAGTTGAAACATGGATGAAAATCATGTTTATTTTGGATTTGAAAACGTTAATGGGCGAGAAAATCATATGAGGTTGAACTTAAAGTCTTCATCCTGTACTGCGTCTGCAGTGTATATAGGCGGAAAGCCTTACAGGTAAAGCAATAGGAAAGTTTGCAAGAAAATAGACAACCTGTAGGAAAAACTGACTTCTAGTTGACTGCGATTGTCATCAGCTGCAGTTTTTGTCGTGTTAGTAGTTAGGCGAAAGCTCCTACAGGTAATGTTGCAGGGAAGTAAACAACCAACTGGAAAAGCAACAAGGTATGGCCTGCAAAAAAAAAGAGAGCTTGGGAGGAAGGTCTAGCTACAAGAAAAGGCTCCGGAGGAGGGTCTGTTACAAGAAAAGTTCAAGTGGAGGCCTGCTGCAGAAAAAGCTCTGGAGGAGGGTCTGATACTAGAAAAAACTCTGAAGGTGGGCCTACTGCAAAAAAAGCTTCGAAGGGTCTGTTGTAGAAAAAAGTTCTAGAGGGGGTTTTGATGTTGAAAAAGACTATGGAGGAGAGTCTGTTGCAAGAAGAATTCCGGTGGAGGGCCTAATACAGGAAAAAGCTCTAGAGGGTCTGTTGTAAGAAAAGTTTCGAAGGAGGGTATGATGCAAGAAAAGCTCCAAAGGAGATTTCGTTGCAGGAAAGCTCCGAAGGAGAGCCTGCTGCAGGAAAAAGTTCCGGATGAGGGCTTGTTGCAGGAGAAAGTTTCGGAGGGTCTGCTGTAGAAAAAGGTTTCTCAGGAGGGCCTGCTACATAATGAATTCCGGTGGAGGAGCTGCAAGAAAAGCTCCGGAGAAGGGTTTGATAAAGAAAAAAACTCCAAAAAAGAGCCAATTGCATGAAGAATTCCAGTGGACCTGTTGCAGGAAAAGCTTCGGAGGAGGGCCCACGTGTCTCTTTGTGTTGACTGGTACAAACCTTGCAAGAGCTCATGTAGGAACTAATACAGGTCTAATGTTTTCTTTCATCACCATCACAATCGAAGCATAAGATTTCTTGTGCTCTTGTCCATTTAAAAGACCTGGAACAGTTGCTACAGCCTGTGAATCAGGTGGAATCTCATTAATCACCTCTTCCGCTGGCTCTTCATCTTCAACAGTTGAACCTTCCCTTAATTCTAAAGGAACATACATTTCCTCTTCATTCACTACATTCTCTTAAAGTGTTTTTGCAATTTGTTGAAGAATAGTTTCTTCTTGTGAAGGAATTGAGCCATGCTCTATGGTCTGATCAGCAGCTTCATGAGTAAAATCCTACTCAACCTGCTAGTCAACATCTTCTAGATATCGAAAAATATCATTTAAAACATAGTATCCCTTGTCGTAGGTGGCAAGAAAAAATGATTATGTAAATTCCCTCTTCACCTAATCCTTTCCAATGAAGCAACCCATCACAAATTCTATCACTCCACAATCAAGAGAATCTTACGCACAACTATCTTGATCTGTGCTAAGTACTCACTGTGGTTCATAAACAGATTCTTCTCATCGATGCCCTGCAAAGTGTAAACCGTGAACATCCCTTTGTTGATTCCAGACCATCCCAGTTTGTTGCTCTCCTAATAGAACTGGAAGATGATATTCGGTGATCGATGGAGGATGTGGAAGAACTGCTGAACAAAAACATTCCTGACCACTTGGGCGAAAGGAGGAGCCCCTATGGGAGATGACTCTTGGGATGCATTTCTGGTCGAGAAGCCCAAGAAATACCAAAAAACCTACAATGTAACCAGGCTGGTCTAGATCAAATCATGCAGCAGATCGGTTGCGGGAAGCTCGGGCAATCGACCGTCAAGTAATCGGGGGTGGATCAAGCAAGCCTCAACAACCTCCTTCCCCCTCTGTTGTGGACCCTCACAACGAACCTGGGAGGAAGTGTCCGACGAAGTCACAGTTCCTTGCTTGACAGATTCGGGAAGGGACAGAATCGTGCGAGATCGCAGCAAAAAAGGAGGCAATGCTTCGGTAGGGTTGCAGGGATCTACTCCGGTGGCGAGGGCCTGCGGACAACTCGAAGGGAGAGAAAGCGTCCCTAAGATGGTAGGAAGGTAGTCTGACAGCTCTAAAGGAAGGATTGGCTGCTAGGGTAAGAAATTTGACTCTGATACCATATTGAAATTCAAAATAATACGGAATAATATTATCGATATAAAAATGGGTTATAAATAACCCTTACACGAATCCTAGAATAGGAAAAATATGAAAAAGTAAACAATAAGAAAGGAAAGATATAATACTTGATATCTCAAATAAATCAATTCATAATAATTATTTAGAGATAAGAAAACAACATAAAAGAAAAAAAAGACTAAAAAAGAAAGAAAATAAAACAAATCTAATGAAATAAATATAAAATAGAAAAGGAAATAAAATTATATTAAGAAATAATTTTCTAATATAACTTCTACCATGTAGCACATGAGATTTGGGAAGTAGCTCGTGAGACTTATTCCAATACCAAAAATACTGCAAAATAGTTTGAAATTGTGACAAAACTACATGAACTCCAACAAAAAGAGTAAAGTGTGACTCGATACTTCAACACAATTACAAAATATTTGTTACAATTAGATATGTATGATAGTTACGTGTAGAAGTGCTCTCAAGATATTATGTTATATAAAACAATAGTGGAGAAGAAGAGGATGATCAAGTTTCTATTGGGTTTAAATAAAAATATAGATGAGGACAAAGGAAAAATTATGGGGAGGAGCCTCTCTACCATTAGGGAAGCTTTTGTTTAAGTCAAAAGAGAAGAATGTAGGAAGAAGCTCATGATAGGGGGAAGTGTGCATTCATCTAGCACTGAAAACTCCAATTTATACAAACACAACTTCTCCCATGAGTCAAAAGACAAAGAAGAATCGCCCTTGTGTGAACATTGCCAGAATCATGATCACATAAAGGACAAATGCTGGAAGCTATATGGAAAACTTGCAAATTGGTAACCGGGGCAATGGAAAAAAGACCAAAACCGCAAGGCACGTGCTACTCCCTCTTCTGAACGGTTGGTCAACCCTAGCTCCTTCACCAAGAAACAATTGGAGATGTTAAAGAAACTTTTTTCGAGCTCAATTGAATTGCCTACCAGCTTGATGACACACCAATGTATCAAGTCCTCCTATCTCGCAAACAATGAAAAATTTTGACCTTGGATAATAAATTTGGGTGCTTTGGATCACGTGTCTGGAGATATTCATGCTCTCACCAACTATCAAAGAGTTCTCCAACTCCAAATTTGTTAGACTTATCGATGGATCTCACTCTAGGGTTGTTAGAAAAGGTGAAGTGAAAGTCTCCAAAGATATTCACCTCTTCTGTATTGTATATTCCCCAATTAGATTACAACTTACTGTCAATTAGCATGATAACTCATGACTTGAATTGTGTTGTTAAATTTCATTCTAACTCTTGTGAATTTTAGGAGATGAATTTAGAGAAAGTAATTGATAGTGTTGAATTGCATCAAAATTTATACATGCTCAAGAAAAGTTATTCTCTTAATACACAAGTGTCTTCTTCACCATCCTCTTCTCATATTCTCGAGTATGTTGTGTCTTGAGTTTGTTGAAGTTAAGTTTTGTTATGGCATTGTCGTCCGGGTCATCCCAATTTCCATTATGTTGCAAAATTATATCATATCATTATTAATAAAAATCCAGACTTTTATCAATGTGAACTATCAGTTGGTGAAACATAATTATCATGTCTACCCTTTGTCTCAGTACAAACCTTCACAATCTTTCTCTATCATCCATAGTGACATTTGAGGACCATCTAAATTAAAAACTATCAATAGAGCAAACAGTTTATCTCCTTTATTAATGACCACAATAGAACTAGTTGGATATTCCTCATGAATGACAAATTTAAAATTGCACAAATTTTTTGTTCCTTTCATAACATGATTTTCACTCAATTCAAATGTATAATTCAAATTCTCAAAACTGGTAATGTAAAGGAATACTTCAACTCTATTTTATTGCGGAGTTTCAACCTATAAACTCATATATATGATACCTTGTAAAGAATTGTATCATATATATGAGTTCATAGGTTGAAACTCAGCAATAAAATGGGACAGCTGAGAGAAAGAAGACATCTCCTCAAGATATCAAGGTCTATAATGCTTTCTCACAATATCCCAAAAGTTTTATGGGGAGATGCAATGCTCATAACCATCTACCTCATTCATAGAATGTCAAGCAAGTCCTTGGATTTAATGTCTTTCTCAATATTTTGATGGAAAAATATCCTCATGTTAGAACATTCAAATCCAATCGTCCCTAAAAATACTTGGATGTCTCTTTTGTTCACATTCACCAACCAAACCCCACAAGGCTTGACCCAAAATCCATTAAATGTATCTTCCTTGGATATGCTTCTAACGAAAAGGGGTACAAGTGCTATTCTCTCATTACAAAAAAATACTATAACTCTACAGATATTATCTTCCTTGAAAACCAACCCTATTACACCAAATCTAATATTCAGGAAGAGAGTTTGGGTGAATATCAGACTTGGGTACCTATTCTACTTCCCTCTAACCATCCGTGAAGGGTGTGCATTTTGCATTAATAAACGGAAAAAGATACAAAACTAAGCCCCTTAGGCGTTACAGGTGTGCATCCTATCATGTTTCATAAGAGAAAAAAAACAATTAATCATTCACGTCAAAAAGCAAAAAAAATATCATACAAAACTTGTTGAGCACAAAAATGAGCAGCTTTGTTACAAAAGCGAGGTATAAAGTGAAAGATAACCTTTCGAAAGGAAGAGAGAAACATTGAATGACCAAAAGTTTCTTTCTCCTAGTATACACACGAAGTACCTTGTTTCAAGGTTGCCTGCACTAATGTCTTCTATCCATACATTTTTGGTCCTAACCATCCTGTCTCCTAAGTTTCACCAATTGACAATATCCAACCTGAATTGACAACAAGGTACTTCGTGTGTATACTAGAAGAAAGAAATCTACTGAACAAGAAAAGACTATCCAACAACATGAATGTTCACAACCAATCCTGAATTAACACATCTTTGAAGTTCCAAAAGAGGTGAAATACAGTTCAGAAGGAAAGTTGCACAAATTATCGTGTCTAGAACTATGTTGCATATGAGAAGTTATTATCAACTTATAAAGTTTTTGTACCTAATCTTGAAAGTGTACAAATACCGAAGTCTGTTCATAAAACACTTCAAAATCTAGAATGAAAAAAGGGCAGTTGAAGTGGAGATTTAAGCGCTTGACCTAAATAGCAAATAAATTTTGCAAAGCTTTATCTAAATAAAAGACTCATTGAGTGCAAATGGGTGTTCAATGTCAATTACAAAGAAGATAGGAGCATCGAGAGGTTCAAGACTAGGTCTGTAACCAAAAGTTTCACTCAGTCTTATAGAATGGATTATCAAAAGACATTTGCTCCAGTAACCAAGTTAAAAACTATAAGAGTTTTTTCTTTCATTGGTAATAAATGAGAGTGTAAACTACATCAACTTTATAGAAAGAATGTGTTTTTGAATAGAAACCTTGAGGAAGAAGTGTATATAAAAATCTCACCAAGAATAAAAAATGAATCAAATAAACATCCTGCTTGTAAACTAAAAAAGTCGCTTTATGGACTCAAACAATTTCTAAGGGCTTGGTTTGATATATTTGAGAGGATGACATCTAATGGGTACATCTAATGCTAAGTGAATCATAAATTGTTCATAAAGCATGCCAAGAGAGGTAATAAGGCAATATTCATTGTCTATATAGATGATTTGACCCTGACAAGTGATGATAAAAAAGATATTGGAAAGATTAAGGAGGTTCTTGCCACCATGATTGAAATTAAGAATCTGGAGTGATGAAATACCGTATAGGCATAGAAGTGGCCAGTTCAAAGATGAGTACTATGATATCCCAAATATAATACATCCTAAACCCACTAAAAGAGGCAAAAATGATGGGATAAAAATCTGTTGAGACTCCTATGGATTTCAATAAAAAGTTTCATGAAAAGATAAAACACCGGTGGAAAAAAGATGTTAGAGACTACTGAGTAAGATTATCTACCTATCATACACTAGACATGATATTGCTTACTCTGTTGATATTGTGTGTCAACATATGAATAGTCTGAATGAAGAACATTTGGAGATGGTTTACAAAATATTGAGGTTACTGAGAAGTCTTCTAGCATAAGGTTATTGTTTAAGAAAGAAAAAAATAGAGTGCAGAAATTTATATTGATGCTAGTTGTGCATGGAAAACTCACGAACAAAAATACCACTTCTCAATATTGTTCTTGTAGGGAAATCTTGTCACTTTGAGGAGCAAGAAGCAACCAGAGTCTTTAGAAGTAGTGTAAAATCTGAGTATCGCTTGATTTCAGAATTTATGAAGGAATGTGGATCCAAATATTACTAAATTAGTTGGGAAATATTACTGTCAATTCCATAAAGATGTTCTATGGCAGTCAATCTGCAATTAGTATTGCAAAAAATCATGTGCAACATGACAAAACCAAGTGTATTGAGAACGATAGACATTTTATCTCTAAGAAGGTCAATAGAAGCATTATTTATTTAATCTACATTACAACTCAATTACAAGTCATTGATGTCTTCACTAAATCTCCAACTCCCGACAACTTCACTGATCTGAATACCAAGTTGGAACTTTACAACATATATGACCCAATTTGAGGGGGAGTGTGGAATTATGAGTTTCATATTATAGTTTTATTCCCTAATAATGTCATATTTCGTTCTTCTTGAGTAATGTTTATTTGGTAAGTTATATTGTTGTAATTAAGCTTGCCCTAGCCGATCATGATTTGATTATTGAGAAATAAGAAATAATATTTTCTCCTTCTTCAGATAGGGCTGTCAAAAAAAGCTCGTTGTTCGCGAACAGCTCGTGTTCGGCTCGTTAAGTAGCTCGTTCTTTAAGTAAACGAGTTGAACACGAACAAGTTTTTAAAGCTCAAATTATAAACGAGCTGAACACGAACAGCTTTTTGTTCGCTCGTGTTCGGCTCGTTTTAGCTCGAACTAAAAAAATTATATAATTATTTATATAATAATATATTATATATATTTATATCTAAGTTTAAATCAGAACCTCTCGTGAGGTAATGTGGTTAGTATCTTTTTTTGCATACATTTGGCCCGGGTTTGAATCTAACACTTTATATCTATTTTTTTCAATTTAATTTTAATGAGTCAATTTCGAGCAGAACACGAATACGAATATTTAGATCGATTCGAACATGAACACATTGTTCACGAGCCGATTCAGAACACGACCCAAACACGAGCCAAGCCTGAGCTCGCTCAAGCTCGGCTCGTTTACAGCCCTATCTTCAAAGGCAATTGAGATACTTTCACAAGCTTGTACAAAAGAAAAACCGAGAATTCGATTAAACTAAGGCAGTGGCATGAAGAGTTTACCCATCATGAATTTCCTTCTCAATGTAGTTTGAAATCACTTTCTAAAGCTACAAGCAGGATTTAATTTGAATAGGATTTATTAAATCATGTAAATTCGGATTTCCAATCCGTCAAATTACTGAATCTAGCAAATCCAGATTTACAGCCGAAACATTAAGAAATTCATATTTAATTATTGTCGAATTTATCATGCATACCCTTAATTGTTTGGTTGGATTTACGCTAAATCCATAAATCCAACAATGTAAATCCTATTAGAAAGGCACAACCAAATAGCCTCTTAGGAAACCTAAACAAACCCCAAGAAGAATAGACCAAAAAAAAGGATGGCAGGTTAAATTTAAAATTTTACCGTTTCCAAAACTCGTCATATGTAGACGCAAGAAACCGTCTTTTCCCGGTCAAATGATCTTGATAACTAAACACATTACAACTTCGGTGTGTTCTAGCAAATCTGATTGCCTCTTCTTGTCTAGGGAATGTAGCCCAAACACCATCCCTAAAATTAGAATCAAATAATATGGCTAAAAATAAGGAATAGCTATGCACGCATAGATTGCTTTCACTGATGCATGAATTGCAACTAAATCATCAAAAATTTGCAACAACTTAAATTTATACTCTCGTACCTAGAGATCAAAGAATTCTCTTGCCTAAGATCAACACGAATTTCCTGTAACAATCTCAAAATCCTTGATGGCTTTTTAACAGGGACACCGCGTGCAGATCCATAGAAGATAACTGGAGAGATTTGCTTGCCACTTCTAAATTTTATTGCGGCGGTTGTTGATGAACTACACTGAGAAGTAATATTAGCTTCACTGTAGTTAGGTTGAAGAACAAGTTTTTCAAGAACATCTATAGCCAGGAATAACATGACATCAAAACGTATTGTAGAGAAGCATGGATAAGTAGAAGGAATAACAAATCAAAATCAACTTTAATGAAAATAAAAAATATTTCTTCTAATCGGTAATTTATTGAAGGTGATTTGTGTACAGAAAAAGATCTGATTTAGCTTGTATTAATGGATCTTTGCCTGTGGGTAAAATAAAGGTTAAGTAAAAGCCTCGTCATCTCCTGTTGGCTATATCAAAGTCCCCCTAAAAGGCTCTTAAATAGGTCCCACCAACTTGCAGGTAACTGACTCAAGTTTTCTTTCATTGCAATGTTTCTTATTAATAATAACATGTTCATGAATTAACACATCAAGGTCAAAATACCTTATAAAACAAATATTAATAACAATAATAACAATAGTGATGATTATTTACAAAAAATCATACAAAATGCTTGAAAACAAATTCCTTCTTCAACTTTTTACCCAAAGTAAATTCAAGCATCTATAAAAATTCTTTACATTCTGTTAGATAATTGGCAACTTGACACTTCCGGATGAATTAATGAGTTGATATGGGATGAAGGCTTAAAATGCCTCTTTTATGGGGTCGAGAAAGGAAGTTGAACATCTTTTATTATATAGAAGAACATTGCAAAGTATAACATTTTGAAAGATACGAAGTATCAGAATTTCTGCAAATGCAAAGTTGCTAATTGATCACAAGATTTAGCTCCATTGGATAAAACTAAATGGAAAAACAAAAGATGTGGAAGCAGGGATAAATAAAGCAAAACGTTGTTTTGTATTGTTCCAACAAATTTTCTCACTTATGAGAATGTTAAAACAAAATCAACATAAACACTAGCACAACATTTAGCACAAAGGTACTCGGATTAGGGATATGAAGCAAAAAAAACGGACAAGGCCATCTTCAGACCATCCATAGCATGTCATCACATACTCCAGGAAGTCCAAATACCTGTTGGAAAACCTTCTTTTCCAATAATGCGTGGGAAAAAAATAATAGTGGAAGGAAGACAGCAGCGATATTTAAGCGAAAAGACCGATGAGGAAACCCTACCTTCTGCCCCTCTATGGCATTATCTTCTGCTTTCTTGAAACAGCTAGGCGTTTTCTCATCAACCACTGGAGATCCTCTTTTTGACGATCTGGTAGGCTTCCGCGCATTGCTTTTCCTGTCCTTAAGTGCCGATGCTATGACCGTTTATGAAATTAAGGAAGAAAGAGTCATATCATGGAAGAAGCAATAATGGTACATTAACAGAGCTGGAAAAGAAATTAAAAGCATAGAGCGCCCCCAGCTTGTTTAGAGCAATTTTCGCAGTTTTTTACTTTTCTTCTTAGAATTTTGGTTAAGGCGAACTTACAGGGAGGCGAGACTCCGCACTTAAAGCAAGCAAAGAGCCTATCTACGTCATCTTTGTGATCGTCCGCCATTGTCGACAGCCTCCTTGCTCTCTTCCGGCACTTGAATGAGATACCGAAACAACGAAAATCCTCTGATCCCGCAGACTTTCGAAGCGGGGAACGCTGCTCTCTAATTTAACTTAAAAGAATAAAATTTAATAAAACGATAATTTAGCAATTCTAAGGGCCTATTTTGGGCCGGAAAAATTTGCTTGCAAATGGAGAGCTGCGTACGTGGGAGGATTTCAGGAGGTTATAATCGTGTTATACACCCTGTAACCTTCCTGTAACCTCCCTGTAACCTACCTATATATGAAAACAGAAGCGCGGAACTTACTCGAAGGTACAGATAGGTTACAGGGAGGTTACAGGGGAAATAATGCGATTATAACCTTCTAAAATCCTCCCTGTAACCTGTTTGCAGGTTACAGACGTACGCAGCTCTGCGTACGTCTTATGTACGCAAATTTTTTCCTGTTTGGGCAGCCCCGTAATTGTTTGAAGAAAACAACAACAACATCAACAACAATAAAGTCTTAATTATGTTTGAAGAAATAACTCTTAAATTATTATTCAAAATATTACGGTGTCTATTATAGAAAAAATTAAAAAAGTTAGAGATCTAGCCTTACAGTAAAATGTATATTTTAGCTATTGTTTTTTAAAAAATATAAATTTTCTCAAGAAGAAAAACTGTAGTGTGGTACCGCTCCGCTGCCCAAAACTCACCATAAGACAATTTTTTTTAGGTGTTTAGATGAAGTGTTTGCATGAGTGATTATCCGACTTAATCCACCTAAACTGTAGTGAAGCACTCATCCACCTTAATTTCAATCCAACTTCATTAGTATAATAAAGAATTTAAAATTAGTATTCTAATTCAAATTAAGTGATCCTGCCTCTAACTCCTGGAACCATATGTACAGAGTCGCGATCATACATATTTTGGATGATCTTCGTAATGCATGTCACGGAAGATCTGAAATGAAAGAACTTGAAATATAAATATTAGTTACAAAAAATATCGATAAGAACTATGAAGTTAGTTTAATGTTAACGATAACTTATGAGTCTCCCTCCGACACAATATACACTTTATTGGAGGTTTCATCCATCTGTGGGGTAGGATTCTAGGAGCCCGGCTAGTTAGAGGAGGGATTTGGATAGAAAATTGGTAAGGGTGCGAGAGCTGGAGCATGAGAGGGAGCATGTGCAAATAGAGCTATAGGAGGACTAATCGATGCAGCTGTAGGAGTGGTATAACCGTCCATGCAATTCACAGCCTTTTTAAGCCTCATGTACATGTTCTCTAAAGAGCCTTGAACACAAGGTCGCTCTGGTGGTTGACCACATGATGTCATTTATAATAGGAAAAAATACATTATTAAAATTAGTACTAATGGCAAAAATAAGCAGAAGCAGTATGTAATATAAGCCACAAAAGTAAAAGCTAGACAACATAGAATCAAAACATGAAACATGTCGTGACTACGTCTAAAAATAACAAAAGTATGCAGAAGAAGTATAGTGTAAGAAGCAAAGGTAAAAGTAGGAAGACGCATAAATAAGATAAGAAATGTCTTAACTACGTCAAAACAATAGAGCCCTAAAACAACAAAAGAAACTATTCATCTAAACATACATACCACATTTTAGTCTGTTTCATTAGAAGAACAAATCGATGATGAACTTAAAATATCTTCTTCAATGTCATCTTTATTGTTGATACACCACAAACAAATTATCATAATCCAGCACGAATCTTGATGCAATATTTTGAGCACGAACATTGAAACTTCGATTACGAGTCATCCAGAACTCCGATTTCAGCAAACTTATAGTCAAAACTGATCGGCTCGATAAAACGGACATAATAATATAAAAGTTAGCCCAATTCGAGTCAAATCAAGCCCAGATCAAGTCATTAAACCACTACTGGAGGATTTCCGGAGGCATTTGAAAGGTCAAAAGAATGTCGAATCTATCGAGTTTATAGCCGAATCGAGCGTCTCGAAAAGACGAATCCAATGAGTCCAAGATCGCTCAATTCCGACATCGTTAAGGCACTCAAATGTCCATCAAACGTCATCTGATCAAGGGAAGCTCTCCGGACCGTCCGATCAAAATGGTTCATATTCCTGCATTAATTGCACTCAAAACACTATAAATAGAGCCTCACCCCTCACATGAAGGGGGGAGGCTTAAGAGAGAACTTGAGGCTTTGAGAAGGAGTTCAAGTCCAAGATCATCCTCGCCATCGTCGATCGCCGTCGACCACCACTGACCGTCGATCACCACTGACCGTCGACAACGACCGTCGACC